TCCATCACGGTTGATAAACCTATTCTTTGAATTTCCACGAAGAAAAAATTTAATTGCAAATTGACAGCTAAGACTTAGTTCTAAAGCTGCCAAAAGTTTTAAAAGTACAAAAGGAATGCTCTATGAATTATCAGAAAATTTAGAAAAACTTCTGGATTCTGATTTCAGATGTTCTTAATCCTTTATGATCCTGAACGTATTAAAAAATATATCAAACTATTCGTGAGTGCGCAAAACGTGTTAGCAGTTCTGGAACTGCAGAAACATGTCCATATTTCAAAGATTCTAAAACTTCTAAAATTCCTAAAGGAGGGGGCGGGGGTGAAGAGGTTGAACATGTTGAATGTTTCTGAGGAGTCGCTAGATTCTTGGTTCTCATAAGTATGAGAGTACTGAATCTCCTGAGAATTGCGAAAGTTAAAAGGAATTTGAATTTTTTGGATGGGCTAAACATTAATTTGGATATTGTGAGAATTCGAAAGATTCAGAAGATTCCCGATGTGTGAAAATTATAATAGATCTTTAGAGGGCTCTGAAGAGGAAGTGTATAGGACAATAACGTTCTAAAGCGGGTTATTACAATCTAAGGTGAGAAATCGACCAAAAATAAATATACAAGATGCGGCAGAATAACGTCCTTTTACTTCCTTTCACTCGCACGTTAGTAAGGGAGGTACTGCATTGGAGGCAAAAATGAACCCCCACTTTTTTAAGGATATACACGTTTTGACGCACCAGGAATCCAAATCAAACAAAATCTCGATGATGGCGGTCTGTCTGTCTGCCTGTACTCTCATATCCAGCTAAACGGATGAACCAATTGGAAACAAATTTGGTACACGTATTCTTACACATAAAAGGAAAAGCTTAATAAAAGCTTTTGGGCAGTGCGCAGATGTGCGGGCGATATTTGTACTGTCCACAGCAAATTTTTTTAATGCGCGCCCTTCCGTCGATTGATGTCGTAGCGGCGCGCTGGTTATCCCCTTCGAGAGAGCGGACTATTAAGTTTTGCCTCGACACAGTGCAGTTGCCACCATGCGTTGGAAAAGTGGGGGCCTACTGTTTGGGAGGATATTCTGAGAGCTGAGAACAATGGGGCTGTGAGAGCTTCAGAGTTGTGATCACCATGGTGTTCTGTGCGCAAACATGTGACTGCTCTAGGACCGCCCGATCGTTCTGAGGAGAATTCTTCATACTGATCTTCATTCAGATTTAGAATAAATTACTTTTTAATTGTATTTTTTCATAATAAACACGTTCAAACATTCGTGTCGATCTTCTTTCACCCCTCTCATGCAAAGGCATAGCAATTAATCACATTTCATTAAATACAGTCCATTTTTACATTATAAATATCGGAGCCTCTTTGGTACGCTCCAGTTTATGTTTAATTGTCGACAAATGTGAAGTGCAGACAAAGATGCTACTTGTATTTTATATACTCATATTGTATAAAGTTTTAAGTATGTTTGTTTTTATGATTTTATTGTAAAAGTGTTTAAAGTGTAATAGTGGATGTTTTGTGTATAATTAAAATAGGTGCAAATTTAAATAGTTCGGCTAGAATTTTCCTCGCCTTTTCCTCAAAAAATAAATAATGAAGAAACATCTCGCCAAATCCCAGAATACAAGTATTATTGATTTGAAGCAAAAACGTACAATCCCAATGAAAGATGATACCTTCGTGCATGTTAAAGTAAATTTCCCCACAGGAAACTCATAGGTGTAAGCACCAATCATACACACGGAGATTATTACTACAGTTTGACATTTCGCATCTCTCCCGAGACAAAAGCATAGGTATATCGGTATCGCGGTTACTGAATATAACATTTCTTTCTTTATGTAAACAATATAGTTCCATCACTTGTCTACAAAATTGGCGAACACGTAGGGAGCAGTAGATGAAAGAAACCCACAAACCAAATTAGAATTTCTAGTATGGGATCGTGCATATTATGCCAGTAAGAAGTGTAAAGCATACTGATGCCACTCAACTAAATAAGTTCTCGCAAAATCTCTTGTCCATTTATTATAAAATATTTTTATAAACTTGCATTGTTATCGTTCAATAATTAAATTTTTTCCTTATTAAGAAGGGCATTTTTATAGAAAAACGGTTTTTGACTTGCCACGTAAAAACTACCGTGGAAAAAAGCCATATTGCATTCCGTTTCTTATAGCCCATTTCGTATGTAATACTGGATTAAATTTGCAGAAATGTTGGATAAGTAAATGAAAATTTGAAAATGTTTTTGGGGAACTCATAAGATTTTGTAATTCTTTCAGAAATGTGTAGTACCTACACTTTAGAAATGTATCAACAATGTGTGTAAATGTTGGAAATGCTTTCCAATTACGAAAATTTGCAAGGAATTGTAAAATTTTTCAGACGGAGTTTCAACTTCTTGTGCCCGCATTTGTTATTTAGATTTATGGATTAGATTTCCCACTAAAATACCGTTCCCTATGGAAATGCGTGTATTAAGAAAAAAATTGATGATTGTTCTATTTCCCGATCGATATGGATACAAATACAGACGAAACGGGCTATCCGAAACGCGGTTTTAATAGCCCACACTACTTCTTCCGTGGGAAGTCGAACACCGTTTTACTATTGAAATGAGTGTGTTAATTGTTAATAGTTATTTACATAAAAGTTCAGAAAATGATACATTACTGGCGAGGAAATATTGAAGTGCGAGGCCCCAAAGGGGCCGAGTACTTTAATTTCCGTGTCAGCTAATGTCATTTTACTGACGAGTTTTGAATTAAATTTTACCCGAAATCGTATTTTAATATAAAATTTCAAATTTCATATAGAACTTTTGATTAATGTCAATCTGTCCATATTTAAATCTTTCTGCCTTTTGCATTTTCGCCAGTTAAGTTTTGTAAGTACCGCATTAAATTTGGATATATTCCGTAAATTTATTTTGCATTCAAACCGTGTACCGTGGTAAAAAATGATACCTCCTCTTTTTAACGGAAATACACGTTTTGAAGCATCAGGAATCCCAATCAAACAAATTCTCGATGATGTCGGTCTATCGATCCGTATCTACTCTCATTTGGTACACATTTCTTAGGCATAAAAGAAAGAACTGAAAAGTATTTGGGCGGAGCGAGCATGCGCGGGCACAGTAATTTTTTTGCTTTTACATTAAGTTTACTGCACCGTAGCTTTTGCTTTTTCTTGCACTGTAATTCAGACCGCTACGTTAACTGCAACGTAAGTTTGTTCTCATTTCCAGTTTAATTAATTATAAGGGGGGAGGGCATCATGTCGCTTTCCCGTAGAAACCGCTACTGAATCCGACATTTACTGTTCTCGCTTAGGGAAATTGCTGTGCACTTTAAGTTTGTTTTAGAATTTACCAGTAGCCGACCACCGCTTGCCCTTCAGAATTCCTGAGATCGCCGTTCTCATTCGAGTTACCTGCAGCTTTATATCGCCGACCACACCTCGTCCAGAAGCAAGATAAATCCAAAACTTATGGTGGTGCCCGCAGCACTCCCGTTCCGTCGTTTTCTGCCATCGTTCCGATGACTATCGCCGCCGTTACCGTATGAAAACTTTGACTTGTAAAATTTTCCTTTTTCTTACCTTCATTACATTTCATTTTTGTAATTATAAGGTTTTTTTTGTGTAAAGAAAAACCGAAGCTACCATGAGTGGGCGAACTTGTGAAAGTTAGTCTCACTCTAAATGTCTTTGTTTCAGCATTGTTGCTTTAACTTATTTTATATTTGGGGAATAAATGCTTGTCTGTCAATTAATTTACTGTGTGTTTAATCGAAACCCAAAGTGCGGCCTTGATAGCGTTTTCATGTCTGATTTTTTATTCGTCTCCAAGAATTGTCAGCTCTTAATTAAAATTTGTTTACTTAATTCTGTGGAACTGTTGGGTGGGGATCGAGGGCACTGTGTCTTTCAAGTTAATAACCAACTCTTTATACTGAATGCCGGACGTGTCTAAATTTAAAGGTTGATTTGTATGAGCTAGCTGAAAAGGTGTTTTGTGAGTGACTTAGTGACCGTTTGCCATTGCACACAGCAATATACAATAAATGGTTTTTTGTGAAAAAAGCGATTCACACTAGGCGCTTTTGTTTGAGGTCCCGTTGTTGGGAATACAGGTGACAATTTTGATGCTGCCGAGTTAAAATTTAGTGTTTAGCCTTCACGAAAACCTGGAACCTTATTGTTTTTGCGTGAAAATCGAAAAATGCATTTTCGAATTTTCGCGATTCTCCAAGCAAGTGTTGTCACCACGCAATCGGGCTTAAAATTTCAGGGTAATTGGGTATTGTTGATCTCTGGAACAGAGCCAAGGTTTTCCCAGAACAGTACTTACAGTATAACCTTATTTCTAAATTAAGCATGCTACTGTTTTGCTCAAAAGCGGTAGGTAAAACATTACGAAACCGGCGTGGTTCAGTTACAATTACGCATGTAGTCATAAAACAATGATATCATATCTGTATTCTTATTGGACACTATTTAGCGCTGATGAGCAGAAAAGTGATCTCATCTATTGTAGTGACAGTTGCCGATGAAAGCCTAGTTCATTATACTGACAAGGCCTGGTGCGTGACTTTTAGCTGAACCATTGTACGTAATGCCACTAAATTTGGAACGCTTGAAAGATCTGTGAAATTAATTGCCCTAATCAATTGAGTTTGGTGATCCGCTCCCCTATATTACTCTACCCTTCTGTTCTGTATATCTTTAATTATATTGCGTCTAAAATTGTACTGCGGTGAGGTACACACTTTGAAATAAATATTCAGTTGAAATAAAATCTGAGAGGCGCAAAACCATCAAACATTAATCACAATGGAAAGGACCATTTATTGTTTGCGCCGGACAAATCTACGGGTGAAAAAAAAGGACATTCCATTTAGGAGAATTATTACGTAAAGCGGTTCATTTTTAGTTGAGTAAATTGTTTAAGAGCATCGGCGTGAAAATACAAGGGAGGAAAATGTTTTACCTGTAGTGGAGTGTTTCCCTCGGGAGTTTGAACAGCCGGATGCGGAGGGTACAACTGCGCCAGGCACATCACGGCTTCATTGCAAAACTTCAGGCCCATTACTTCTTCGTCTTCGCGACCGTACCTAAAAGCACATCAAAAGGTAAAAGGTTTTCCGTAATTCAATTCCGTAGAAATAAATGGGCGTAATGCTAATACACTAACAACGTTTTATAAATATACAAATGACAGGTGTATTGAAATGTACCTACAATTCGAAACAGGTGTTATTTTCCCAGATATGCTCAAATGAAATTAAAATTCGCACGAATTCATTTAACGTAGCGTAAAGTATGTAATTGCTTTAAATATCACATCACGCAAATTACTAATTACCAAGCAGTGATTTTTTTTCGGGCTGGATCCAATTAACTACACTGGAATTATTTCATTTAATAAAGGCAAGGTAGGTAAGTTTCCAAGAATGTGCATTTAGGTACTGTAGGTCAGTAATTGTTATAGTTCAACTTCTACGGCCAAACACAAGGAGTCGTAACCTGCAGAATATGAACGTGATATTATTTGACCTTTGAATTTTTTACTAAGAGAGTATAATAATTCAACCATCTTTATGTCGCAGAATCGATATGTGGTATTTCAGGTCGTAGAAAGTTAACGCTGTTGTCACGACTTCTATCCCTCCAATGACAGTTTATATAGTAAATATAACTGAAGCGAAATGAAAGGGATCAGGAAAAGAATGCCCTTGAGGAAAACGAATGTGAAAATTCATGAGTAATGAATGACATAATGTAACCAGTGGTATCCATTTTTATCGCTCATTTTTCGTGAATTTCCAGTGAATTGGTAGCTGCATTTGAAAGATCAGAAGTAATGCGATATGGGATTTTTATTTAAAAAAACCTCGATCAAGAGTGGCTGTTGGAATGTTGAGTAAAATGTGTTTGTTATACTACTATAAAAAACGAGCTACCGTAGGTGCAAATTCAATTATGTTTCATTTCAAGCTCAACCGCTGGGCACATTAAAATTTATTATTTTTCATAATTTTATTATACTTATTTCTTTTTTGCAACATTCTAAGACAAAAGTAATGTATGAAGTAGATTGTGCCGATAGTAAGGAAACCAATGCTTCTACTGTCGATGTTTGTGCAACTTTGAACTGAAATTTTATACTTTTGACGAATATGAACTGGTTTTAATGACTACAACTAACTGGACAGCCATGTAAACCATACAGCAAATGCACTATGTAGTGATGAAGAAGCGAATGCTGAATCATCTTGCCAGTTTCGTTTATATTAAAACTAACACAAATGAGGCCAATTTAAGGGATAAATTGTGGAAATTACAATAGAACTGTTTCTCTTTTGTTGAGCTGTCGTAAGAGTACCGGACAGACCAACAAACCGACAGTTACAAAACCTTTTCCTAAGGAGCTTTTCAGCCTAAAGGGTTTCCAACAGTGTCTACTCGAATCGCATCAAATTCTAGTATGCTATTGCTTTTAAATAAATTCCTTAAAAGACACTCAACATTTGATTTTAAAAGTTCAACCATTGAATTTATAACTATCAACCTTTTGAAGCACTGTAGTCAATTTTGTATGACTTGCTCAATTGTCTTCGCCGTAATATTAAATAAAATCTGTTTTTATAAAAAAATATTAATTGATGGGAGTTTAAATCATTTTTTCTAGTTCTCGAATATGTTTGTTGTGTTTGTGTATATCGATGGTTGTGGTACCATGAGTAAAAGGCCGATTCTCACTTTCGTGCAAAGAACCGGCACGGCACATACTCGGCACGGGCAAAGTTTTTTGAGTTCAATTCACACTGCGACACGCTTGCCGCAGGTAAGCAGTTTCTACGTTGTAACGGAAGCTTGTTAAATTTTGCAAGTTTTGTGGATTTCAAAATTATATTCGGGTAGAAATGCGTATCGATGATTAAGATTTCTGTGAAGTTGTAATGTTCATTAAAATTAACAAATATTTTTTTTTCGATGTAATTAAGTTTCAAATATCGTGAAATATAAGATGAGTTATTGGTTTTGGACTTCCTATTTTGGGCGAGTTAACGATTATGGTACGTGATTTAAAAAAGGTCACCGGTTAAAAGACGCAATAGATTCTAAGAAAAATATGTAATAAAACAGCGAGGCTAAAAAATTATGAGTTTGTTTATTTCCGGAAACTTGATGGGAGCGTTAATTACGGGCGTTGGTTTACTCGCGATATAAAAACCAAAATGATCAGAAATTTGGGAGCTTTTTGCGTAGATATTCACGCGGAGCGTGGTACCGCCGCGGAAAACGCGGCCACCACTTATAAAGTTTTTTCGTAGATATTCGCACGGGCGAGTGTCATCGCGGAAACGGGCCATTTAAGTAAAAAGGCCCAAGCCAAATAAAATTTGTTGCGCGTATTAATTAAAAAATCGTATTTTTTAACCAAGAACAAGTTGGTCGTTCTGGAATAGTGAATTGTTCGGAAAGTATTAATCATTGAGTAACTGCAGTTTAGTTTAACGGGCGATTGAAAGACTTCCGTTCAGAAATTATACCTAAAGTACGAAAAGCGCGCTAAGAAATTGTTGTTCAATTGGGATTACGCGATTGGATTTAATAGGCGAAGATTGAGAATAATCTAAATCATGCTCCACTACAATACCCACCATCTAAAAAGGGGAAGAATACTACTGTCTAAATTGTAAGTTATTTTTATGAAAAGTTATTTACCTAGAAATTTATTCATATAAAATTTTTATCTTGTCATTTTATAATTGTTTTTGCCGAATGGTTTTATATAGATAGGATAAATATAAGTTAGAAGTTAGAAGAATATTCATTGTTGTAGGTATTAAATTAAGTGTTATATTAAGTAAATTTAAATATTAGGTATTCAGATTCAGGATAGATGTAAGTAATTGAGTAATATTTAATATAAAAAAGTAAATCAATTGTGAGTGCAGTGGAATTTGGATTTATTTTATTTTTTTCAATATAATCGGTTTATTTATTTAGATTTATTTTTTATCAATCAGAAACGTGAGACGGTAATAGTAGGGCTATTACAACGTGAGTTTCAACTGTAAAAATGTTCGAAACTTTACGTTAATTAAAATTGGTCTAATATTAGATGATGAAGAACAAGAAAGTACATATTGCAGAAAAAGAAAAATACGTTTTTGTGTACATAAAATGCATAAGAAGTATCTTTTATGACCGAAATCATTTTCTTGGACACATTCAATCAGCATCTCATCTTGTTCCGCTGAAAAAGTGTTCCTTTGCTGACCCTTCAACCTTTCTTGTACTATGAAAAATGAACTAAAGTCGGTGACCTGCACAGATTGTATTCACACTTGTCGGAACGTGCACGGTACATGCCCGGCAAATATTGTTTCGGAAGAACGCTGCGTGCAAAGGCCGTAGCTGGCCGAGTCTTTGCTCGCATAGTGTGAATTATACCCCAAAAAATTCATAAGATTCAATAATATAGATATTTTGCCGAGTCGGTGCCTTGCCTGTGCCGAGTACGTGTCTTGCACGAAAGTGAGAATCGACCTTAAGTTGTAGAGAAACAAATGTGCCAAATGCTTGACAGAACAGCTTCTTAGCTCAAACCAAGAATAGCACTTTTAGAAGAATGTCTTAATAATAAGTGTACGGAAAAAAAGTTTCCCACGAAAGTTTATTATTTTCCTATGTAGAAAAAAATATTTAATAAAAAGTATAAGTTTCTATTTGAAAAAATTAGTTGCCCTACACTTGACCCTTAACTGTTTATGTGAAAATGTGCATAGCATCATTAAATGAGCCCCTCCATATGAATAAGATTTTATATAAATATTTTTTTGATATCCCTGCTAGTTTCCGCAATAATCGACTCTCAGGTACTGATTTTCGTTTGTTCCGAATTCCATTGTTATACTCGGACAAAAACAAAGTTTGCCCATTATTAAATTGGTAATTCTAATTAGTACGCGATAATCGATACTTTTTTATGATATACGTTCTCTCGTAAAGACTCCACGTTGTTGTGTTACGACTACACGCGCTTTACTTTTGTTTGTGTTTATTACTAATAATCCTTTTATTGTCTACAGTCAAGCAAGGTTGAAGGCAAGGCCTGAATACTTTTAGGTAACGGTTTGCGTGGGACCAAACGGAATATTTATTTACATAAAAGTCAGGAAAATGACACATTACTAGCGAGAAAATATTGAATTTCCGAGTCAGGCAATGTCACAGATGCGGCCGGTAAACTGACGATGAGACTGGTAAAGTGATAAGCGGCAGGAAACGTAGTCTGCTCTGCCTCTGTCATTCTGGATTCTGGATTACGATAGGAGGGTGAACAGTGTCCACGCGTACTTAGGCCTCAAATTCGGGCCCTTTGTACTACCTCCCTGACTAGGGTCGCCCGACCCCTCAGCATCACTCAAGCCATCCCACACGTGAGATGAACCTTAGGACGCTGGAAGGGGAGGCGGCTCTAATCGTAGCCATGTCCGGCCAGGATTCCCCCAACATGGATCGTCTCAGTTGGACTAGAGTGGGACATTCACAGAGTATGTGGTATGCCGTCTCGTCGTCTGTGTAACATCCTCTACAAGATGGTGATTCCACCAAACCCATGCAGTGCATGTGCTTGTTTAGTTTACAGTGCCCAGAAAGTATTCCCACGAGTAACCTCAGGTTCTTCCTTGATAGCCCTGTACAAAAACGCGCCAAGCTACGAGATGGTCCTCTGAAGGCTTCTCTCGCATGGCGACAATCTAACATCAAGTTCCACCTAGCCCTGTGCTGGGTTTGGGTGTCTTGAGTTATTAGGTTGTTTACAGTTTTAACTGTAAGTGGAAGAGCCGGCTCTGGACCATAAAACGCCTGTTTTGAGGCCAGTCCGGCTAATTTATCGGCTTTCTCATTACCTTCCGTTCCAGCATGCCCTTTGACCCATACGAGCTCAAGGGTGTTGCTGCTTGCTACTTGCTCTAGTACGTGGTGACATTCGGAAACCATCCTAGAGGTAATTTTACAGTGACCAAGTGACTGCAAGGCAGCCCTGCTGTCACTTGAGATTCTGATAGTTTTGTTCTTTATGTTATGCATAAGAACTGTTCTTGCACTAAGCGTTAATCCTACCAACTCTGACTGGAATACAGTAGGAAGTTTACCTAGTGGTTGGGTGATATGGAAGTTCAGTTCTTTGGAGTAAATACCAGTGCCTGTACCTTCCATTGTCTTAGATCCATCCGTGAAGATGAATATATCTGGTTGGGATGCCATATTCTCATCAAAGAAGATGTGATAGTTTTTCCCTAATATGAATTGAGGAGTGAGTGAGTCCGATCTCCCCTCTAGGATAGGCAGACGCTTGATCGCCTCGCCCAGAATTCGGGAGTGGCCCCCCCTCAATGCCTCTGCTATTCAACAACCCCTTATTTTTCAGACGCAGGAATGCCAGAATGGCCTGCTCTCTCACGTGGAGATCTAGTGGAGGCAGATCCAAGAGGGCCTCCATGACGGCTGTGGGGGTCGTTCGCATCGCGCCTGTGCAGGCAAGGCACGCTAGTCTTTGCACATGATTAAGGAGTGCTACAGTTGTGGAGAGTCTGGTTCTAGGCCACCAGACAATTGCTCCATAACAGAACATAGGTCTAATCACGGCAGTGTACAGCCACAGGACAGCCTTCGGGGATGGTCCCCAAAGTTTGCCAATAGCGCGGCGACTTTGCCAGAAAGCCCTATTTGCTTTTTCGGCTTTAAGCTGGATATGTTTGCTCCAATTCAGTTTTTTGTCGAGTGTGATTCCTAGATATTTCACTGACTCTGAAAATTGGAGGTGTTTTTGGAATAGCAGGGGAGCTCGAATACCCTCTACCTTTCTTTTTCTTGTGAAGAGAACTAGCTCCGTTTTTGTCGGGTTGATGGACAAGGAGTGTTCCCTACACCATTCTTCGGTTACTGTAAGAGCTGATTGCATCAGTCTGCATAAAGTTGCCTCAAATTTGCCGGTTATAAGTATGGATATATCATCCGCATACCCCAGCGTATAGTACCCACTGTCATTAAGGCGACAGAGGAGCCTGTTTACAGTCAAGTTCCACAGAAGTGATGATAACACCCCACCTTGGGGGCATCCTCTCACTACTGTGCACCTTAGTGTTTCGTCGCCAACGCTGATGTGCACTGCTCTGAGATTCAGCAGCTGCGCAATCCAGCCTTGTATGACGTTCGGTACGCCGTGGTGACATAGAGCCATTTCTATTGAATCGAAGGTTGTTTTGTCGAAAGCCCCTTCTATATCTATGAATACTCCCAGTGCAGCGATCTCTCAATCTGCCCTACAACGCAGTGCAGGGCTGATTCCGTAGATCTTCCTGGGCAGTATGCGTGTTGGTTAGGATGCAGCGGAAACCGTGTTAGCGCCGTATCCCTTATGTATCTATCGCACAGTCTTTCAAGTGTCTTAAGAAGAAAAGACATCAAGCTGATTGGACGATATGCTTTAGGTGTGGAGTCATAGAAACTCAAATTTCCTGACAGAAAGTAGGCTTCATGAAAATGAAGGTTTCAGGACGATTTTGGGTAAAAAATGTATTGTTTACAAATTGCTTAAAGGTCTCTATAACGCTACCTCACGCTTGCAAATTTGTTTATTGTATAACAAATTATTGAAAAAAAGGATAGTTAAGGGATATATTCATATTACCTTCATAAGTAAGGGATAAAAGGTTATCGTAAACCGAAGCAAATCTTAGCTCTGTTTGCCACCAAAAGCATGGCCGTCTACAGTCCTTTTTCTAAGCAGTAACCGTACCAATTTCGAAAAACAACAATAAAGTCAATTTATATGCTTACATTCACGCACGGCCGAAAATGCAAACATCTCCACGGCATAAACAAGAAGTAAAAAACTTTCTTTGTCCCCAAGCTATGCGAAAATTTGCTTCAACCCGCAGACCACCGAACCCAATGTCAGTGGAACTAGAGGCACGACTGTGAAGTAATAATTACTTTTAAGTAGATATTGTGTGATTTGCAGGAGTAACAGCGACTTTCTCTGTTCGTTGGTAGTTCCAAACTTATTTCAATGTTACTAGAACTACTTTAATGGACATTTTTGCAGTGAGCGTTGTGTTTCCGCTACTTAACAAAATAAATCAAAGTATTATATGCAATAAACTCATTAATTTGGTCGGGTCTACATGAAAATCACTTAGTAAAAGTAGCGCACTGATCACTGTTTTTGGTAGTAGCAATTCTGTTTAAGTTTGTATTTCATTGTTTATGTGCATGATACTAAATCTCAATTTCAGGAATTGTTCTTTGTTCGTTTTAAACTTTTTTTAAATCATTGTACCATAGTTTTACACTATGATAATACACAATTTTTGGGGCACCTCTCATAGCTCGAGAGTCTATTAGTGACACGAGAAACAGAAACCGCAATTCGAGCTTTGATAAACATTAAACCGCGCGACAAAATTCGCAGCGGAAGATACCCTTTGGGCACCGAAGTCGAGTACCCAAAACGCCTTGCAAAAGGTGGGTAATTTCGCCCCTAGAAAATAAAAATAAATTAGTTGTGCGTGTTTACAAGACCTTTCCGACGACACCAATTTGAATCGGGCCAAAACTGTAGAAGAAGATAGGAAAAAACTTAAAAATCACCACTTCAGTATAACACGCGCGGGGATGGTGCATTGTACATTCCTCGTCTTTCGACAAGCGTTCTTCTAAGGGCCCGCATATGCTGCCAGCCAGCCGGCCGGCCAAGGTGAGCTACCTTTTTACAAATTGACATGATGAATTGACAAAATTGAAAAAGCAGGGTTTGGATTCGTTTGGACATCTGCTCCGGATGACCCATCTTATTTGTGACGAGATTAAATTCTTCTTTATGTGCGGCATGACGTTCAGAATTGCGATTAAACCATCCTTTATGGCGGCTCCATTTGTTAAAGGAATTCATAATTCATTCATCAGATGTTGGTCTTTGGGATTACATACAAATGAATATTGATGATCAACCACTGCAGAGTCGAATAATTTATTGATACGATATCACGGTATAAACTAAGCCTTTCTCATTGTTGAGAGTAGTTAACGTTAAATATTCAAATGTAATACCTAATACAACGCTTCTTGAGCCGTTAGCTTTCTGTCATATTATTCTTGTGTGTGTGGGTGTTAAAATTTGTCTGTTGACTTTGTAGAAAAATAATAATACAAAATTGACAGACTCAAACTTCAGTTATCAGACATTTGCTGGCATGGAACCCCTCGTATGATTTCTAATTATTTGTAAAGCGAGAAAAGCACTTCTGTTGATGACCAGCTATATGTACTTATTCTAGCTGTATACAAATATTTCAGCAAACTCTACTCTAACTAACAAATTCTGGTTACGAGGTCTCCCATTTTCCCTGTCTCTTTGCTACTTCAAACACGAGAACGTGTTAATGAGAATCTATTATAAGCCTTAAATCTTAGAAGCCTACAAAACATAATTAAGAACCGGGGTCTTAATAACTTAACAGAAGTACGTGTTAAACCCATAGTACTTACAACAAAAATGGATACTAAATTGTAGTCCGCTGAAGCATTCATTTGCTGTTCCTTCCCAAATAAAAAAGAACCGATGCTATGCCATATTGCCTGTAAAATTGAATTAATACAAAAGTTTCGCAATTTCGTTAAAAACTAAAGATAGCAGCTTTCCACTTGCCCCAGCAGATTTACAGGCTGATTTCTCTATAATGTAAAATACCATTTCTGGTCACGGAAAACTCTAATACTCACTCGTACAGGGCATTATGCTGTTAATTTACTACAATTATCTTTGACTGACCGCTAGGGCGCTTTTGCTGTGTACGTGCGACGAATGGGAAACTATGCAAGGAACGTTCAAGCCTCTCTTGCTTACGTAAAGGTTTTGGTTACCTTTTTATAAACCGTTGCTTCATACACCTAAACTGTATAATTCCTAATTTGCAATTTGAAATTACAGCAATTCCGTATACCTACTGCAAAAGAAATTCGAAGTTTCAGAGCGAATTGCCATAAATGGTCAAAACCAAAATTATGAATGTAAGTGCATATTTTTGACGAATAAAGACATTTTGAAATACCTCGCCAGTTTTCAAAACAAGTCACATAACGTACATTTCCTTAAAACGTTTTCTATAAATAATGCTAACGTAAAATTTACAAAAATATAAACTGCCAATGTACCTTGTAACAGTTTTATTATTATATCAACATTTTGTTCGTATTTCCATTTCAATCACCCTGTTTATAACTTTTCTATTCTGTGGTAGTCACCTTTTGTAACCTTCACATTCGTTTATTTCCGTACCTGCCCGTTTCTAATGTTTTATATTTCTATTATTGGTCTAAAAGCCAATTTCCGCTTTAGATAACCTATGTAATTTGATACCGTAACCATATATGGTATTGTAAGCTTCGATTGACCGCGTTATTGGTTGGAGCAAAACTTCGTTGTTTCATTGGGGCCGGAAATGGAAAAATTCAGCGTGTTTTACTTGCTAACCCGAAGAGAACGGTCGTGCGGTTCATCCTGATTTAAGTGCTAATTTAGTTCCTGTTTTGGCGAAAGCATCTTTAAAAACAAGTGAACCATCATTGTACCTGCCATTTCTTTTTGGGCATGGTAACCATTTAATCCGAAAGGAGTTCTTCTAAAGGAACGTAAGCATAATTGGGACCATTCTGACAACGATCGTAGGATAACTTCCATTCACTTTCGTACGTTCACGAAGCTCTTTTATTTTCCGTTGACTCTCTCCATGTAGAGGTTCGCATTTATTCTTGTGTAAAAACGTACCACCCATTAGTTTATTATTTTAGAGTTCACGTATTGGGGTCAAGAACTACGATCCGACTGTTTACCTGTGAAACGAAACTATAGACCACATTGTGTTGCGGATAAGGGGGCATAGGAAAGTAAATCGACTAAGTACTGGAGTGCAGTGTGTACGATCTAGCATCAAACCATTGAAATAACTTAATGGCCGAGTCGTACATATCTTGAAGCCGCTACCTTACTTCCGACACTTTGTGTAACACTTAGAGCAGCATTTGTCATTCAACGTGCAACCATATACCAGGACCTGTGGAAAAGAAGACCTAAATATTGATCGTACGGTGATGTAGCATTGTTAAACCTTTTTGTAAATTTGTGTGTTTGCATTTGACCCACCTCGGTGGTGATCAATTGCTAATTGGCCTGCATAGAGTCAAGATTATTACTGTTAATTGGTAAGCTTGACATTTTTGGGGTACAATATTTTAGCTAGTCAAAAGATTACTCTCGTTATGGGGTGATAACAATTTATGTAAGGTACGAACGAGCTCGTAAGAACCGAATAATTTCATTGCCGACTCAAGCTATAAATTAAGGTATCTATTTTCAATTTAATTCATTATTTTGCCACTGCAACGATATTTGGGTGTTAACTCCAGAGATTCTGGTGTATTTTATTCAACATTTTATGGGAAATTTTATGTAAACCCCTTCTTTTGTTAACTTTGGGAGGGTTCATATTTTGAGTTGCTGCTTACCTTAAATAAGATTATGAATTCCCAGTGGGGAATCTAAGTTGTGCAATTTTGAATTTATTTCATGGTGCAGTGCACCGAATAAAACTTTTTATTTGTGGGTCATTAGTTGCCTATTTTAAAGCTAAAGCTACCTTTCCTAGTTCCGGTAGTGTAAGCGAAACTTGTATGGGAATTAGGTGGCGCCCAGGAAATTTACAAGAAGCCACAAAAGTAAGTAGTGAAGATTTATTTGGAATCGATGATATATGATGAGCCATTACCAAATGTATTAATTCTGTTGTCACCCACTACCCTGTGTATTTGTCTTGCTCTCTCCGCTGTTTACTATTTGGTCAACAGAGCTAGCTGGCCGGTCAGCGGCGTGTGTTTTTTATTAAAGCACATGGTATTTTGTAGCGCCTAGCATTTTGCAGCTTGCGCGTTATAACCTACCAACATTGTGAAATTTTTATTGTGTATACGTCCCATTATTAAATGCCGAAAACTGAAGGTGTAATTAGGGACACTGTTTTTAAGATTTTGTTACCTATAAGTCTTTTATTACCTGAAGTACATTTTTAATGAAGGTTTACAGGCTAATTACTGCAATTATCTTTCACTGCCCGCTGGGGTGCTTTTTCTTTGTACGTGTGGCGAATAACAAACTACGCAAGGCTTCTTCTTCGAGTAATCATTATATTTATTACCACATAAATACGATTTCCGCCCAGTTTTTATGACCGTTAGGCACATTAAATTTATGATACCGTCTGAAAGATGGCTGCTTCAGGGTTAAAAACATTTCCGGGTTAATGTTTGTTCGTTTTATGGTGGAAGTAGAACAATATTCAACAAGTGTCTACTAAATCTGGAAGCAACAAGATTCGAACGGAAATTTATACTTCCCCGAGCTTTGTTGTCGGATTTAATAGTCGGCGGTATAAATTCATCTACATCTCGATTATTGCAACACTTTTGTCTAAACGAGGGCCTATGCTTTCGAAAGTTTTACCATAGAGAGAAAAAATACGAGTGGAAGGATTTGCATTTTAGCGATCGTAGGAGACAGTGGATGGAAGGCACTCATGTATACCTTTTTTAGAAGTCCTATAAGTGCTCCATCGTCTTTTGAATTATAAGAACTCCAAGCCCTTTTAAAAATTTAAAGCGCTATTCGTGCAAAAAATAATGTTAGGGAGAAGTTTCGAAAGTAAATACTCTTTTTTATTCAACAAGCCGGAAAGGACATGAAAAATGTTTCTAATCGTGATGGTGCACGTTATTTTTACAACTGCAAGGAATGTAATGAAACTTTACCATTTTCTTTTAGAGAAACTGAATTTTTAAAAGAAATTATGTTTTACATTTGTTTAATCCAGTGTAAACATCTTATGATGTTTCCACCAATTAAATAATAATTTATTACTTTCTTGCCAAGAAGCATTAAACCATCAGAACCGTGTTGATCGACAAGTGAACCGATAAATTAATTGAAATTGAGGCTAATTACATTATTGTTGACTTGATTTTGTGATGTGTAAAGAATTGAAACCAATAGAAGTGCTGGTTGTAAAAGCAGATCCAATTCTGAGGAAATTAATTGGTTCTCTGTACCTTCTGCTTTAGGTACTATCCAGTTTCTATAAATTAGACTCGCAAAGCCATAAGAAAGATTACAGAAATTTACAGTAATTTCTTAACTTTTCTCTCCGTTTATTAATTGTTGAAGGATTGGAGTTTCCTCAGTAATAACGTATGAGCCTCTCTCGCTGTTTATTTAGAACATAGGTACCTGCTATACTGCCGGCGGCGAAACATGTTCATTTAGAACAGATTAAGGAAATATAATCTTCAAGAATAACAAGGAAATTCAGAATAAAATGTATATACTATAACTTTACTACTAGGAAATAAACTGTAAAGGTTGTAAAACAATACCTACTAAGCACATTGTTGGCAAGGTTGACGTGTAAGCATTTCCTGTGGACTAACGTAATTGACACAGGTTAAGGCAGTAATATCTGTGATATAAATAGCATATAAAAACTTACAATAAATGTATCAGTTAACCATCTTCGAACTGTTGGTTTTCTGTGAATTGATTGATGTGATTCAAAATAAGTGAGGATAGTTTGAATTAAGTGCTTAAAAATTGTGGAGTTTTTTGGTTTAGACATTGACGATTGTGGTTTTTTTCATTACGTGTTGATTTTACACCTTGTACGGTCATCTTTTTATTTTAAATCAAACAGTTCTATCGGTGCTCCTCCCAGGCGTTAGCAGTATGTAAAAGTAAGTAAATGACGTACATTATTTTATGGATGTGTAAGTACCTTACTTTTTTAGAATCTTCCACAATGTCTTTTTCACCTAAACATGACGCGTTCGTCTTAAAGGAACATTATCGAAGTGCAAGTCTACAGGATGGGACATGGACGTATTCCATTCAGTCCTGTCGCCAGCAATTCTATCAAGAATTTCCTTATATGCAACGTTTTCCTACAAGGTATTTTCCATTCACAAATACCGGGTAACTCCATGATGCCGTACAACAGTTTTACGATGATCGATTAATTAGCAGAGGATTGTGGTCACCACGTTCTCCAGATCTAACCCCGTTAGATTTTTTTGTTTCTGATTTTGAAATACAATATTTTTCGAAATCGCCTGCACATCACTGAGAAACTTCAAAATGCAATCGAAGGGGAACTAATGAACATTACACCAGTAATGTTAGAATTAGTTTTCGATGATATGAAAATATGTGTGTAACTGTGCATTCAAAATAATGGTGGGATATTTTTAACAATTGTTGTGAAGTGATTGATGCGAATGAAATAATTTTTTATACATTAAATTTCTGGTAAAAAATTATTTGAATTATTTTGAATTTGAATTTTTACATTGTGCACTTTAGTATCAAAGTGCAAAAATGTTTGTTAAACAATACCACAGATTCTGTGACAATACTAAATTACGTTTATGTCATCCTTGTACATTGACGGCCGGTATTATAAAGCCAGACTTAACTTTGTTGTCAGCTAACGGTGTTGTTAAGACATTCCTTAACAACACTGTTAGCTTACAACATAGTAAATATGACTTTATAATACCGACCGTCAGTGTATAAGCATGATATAAACGTAATTTAGTATTGTTTAATAAACATTTTTGTACCACGTTTATACAACATAAGAGAGTTACATCGCATTGGCGTTTGTTTCATTTCAAACGTTCAATTAACGTTAAATGCTGATGTTATAAAGTGTTATATGATGTAACGTTTGCTAAACGTAGGTATTTAGACGTTACAGAGAAACGTTCTTGAAGGCGGACATTAGCAGTAGCGGTGACGTTAATAGTAAGTTATACGCTAACGTTACAAGTCACCATAAACGTGTATTAAACGCTAATGTTGCACAATTTTGTCATGTGGGGTAAGATTTGCTTGGCGAGTATTATGCATTAGGGGTGAAAAATTCTGTGTAAAGTGTAGTACTTTGTGTTGATAATTGAAAATTGTTTTTGTGTACAGATACCTTTTTATTTGGTTTATTGGTTATGCAATTGCATTCTTTCTTTGCAAGAAGAATTTCATCAATAGAACCACGCACTCGCAGTTCTTTTTGTTTAACCAGCGTGTGTAGCACAGACCCAGGAGGTATTCCACAACCAGTACAAAATCTGTCCTACGCAATTGGTTACGCAAGATATATCTCTAAACTTAAAATAATATCAAAAACATTCAAATTGACTAACCTGAATGTGAGAGTCACTTGACCAAAGACTTTTCGCTGGTTTACAAAATCGGGATCTACAAGTAAAACTCCCTGAAGTCGGTCAATTCTTCCAGCAGATACGACCAAATCTCTCGAACTTAAATATAATGTCAGTTTATTGTTTGGTGACGTTTTCTTGAAAACCCTGTAACAAAGAAAAGGATTACTATAGTTTTCACCGTAGTAACTTATAAATACAAGCAGGTATCTCAGAGACAAGCGCAACATACAGCGTGGCAAGTTGACGGCGGGCAAATAACATTGACAATTCAACTCATGTATAAAAAATCGCATAAGCCGCAGTGAAATTGTCACTTTGACAGCGGCAAAAGTTACCTGCAACTTTTCCAGCGACAAATGCACTAGTGGTTTTTTCACTTATTCATTTTCGAACCAATTATCGCATTATCCTTTCCCATATGACTAGTTTGACGTCTGTCAATAATTGATTAATTTGGTGAATTTCTTGTTCGTTAAATTGTCCTGCCGAATTACACTCGAGGTTTGTATTTAAACCGAGTAAATTTGGGTTGTGGCAATTCAAATCTGTTTCCTTTTAGCAATTGGACTCGAAAAACTGTCAACCTAAAAATGCTCCACCTGCGGTGTCGCATTTTTATTAGTTGACAGTTTTTCTCGTCTAATTACTAGGCAACAGATTTTTATTACCTAAACAACCCAAATTTACTCGGTAAAATACAAACCTCTTGTGCAATTATAAGTGAAAAATACATTTTCGGTAATTCCTGCTCCCCATTTCAACCTCCAGGAAAAATAAAAACATCCTCCGATAGATAATTAAAATATCCATCCGATGACATAAAATTGCGCAACTGTGAGGTCTCATGCAAGCCTAACAATTAAATTTAAAATACTAAACATTGGTAAAAACGGGTTGGCCATGGAATGTCGCCTTTGCTAGGTACCTTCTATACAAAAAATCGCTCCTTTTGACTATCATCTTTCTTCATTCAAGGCAATGTTGAAGAAGACGCCGCCGAAACCAGATCACGGGTTAGGAATCTCCCGGGAAGAGCAAGAATTGTTAGAACCGGATCGAGAGGAAGACCTAGGAAGGAGTATAGGCAAGTTCTGTCCAGACGATGGAGGAGGCACTTAATTCTCCAGAAGAGAAGAATGGTTCCAAGAAATGGCTGACGAGATGAAGTCAATCATTAAGAACGACACTTGGGAGCTCGTAGAGCGTCCACCGAATCAGGAAGTAATCGGAAGCAGAATAGTTCTACGGAATAAGTATTGTTCGGATGGAACGCTGCTTAGGATGAAAGCCAGGCTAGTTGCGCAGGGATTTAGCTAACGACCAGGAACTCGTTTCAAAGAGACATTCGCTCCAGTGGCAATGATAGGAACTTGGCTGCGCAATTAATCATGGAAGTTAGGCAATTCGGCATTACATGTGTGTCAACGGTGAATTGCAAGATGAACCCTCCGAGACATTTACCCGAAATCTTGGAAATCCTCTCTTGTTCTGTGCCCTCAACAGGCTTGTGACCAATTACTGAGTAACCCGCATAATGCTTTTTAGAGGTGCCTCTGCAGAAGGTCTTAAATTGTTCTATACTACTCCGGTATTTACCTTGCGAATTAGGAACACTGCAGGAAAAAATAAATTTGGGAAAGATAAAGATTTCAAAGATGTGAGGGGAAGTGTTAAAGTAATCACTGTGTTCGCGCTTGAGTAAGTTACTTTAATATGTAAGGGCTCGGCAGACACTTATCGAACTCAGAGTGTGTAGTGTAAGTTAGTCACTATTCCAGTTAGTCTTATCAATGCAACGTGTTAATGTTTAAGAAACTTATTACCCAGGACTCCTTGTCTTGTGATCACTTGATCCGATCCTCTAACAGAAAAATATAAAACTTTCGTTATGTAATAAGGATCAATAGATCAAAGGGTAGACAGTTGGCAAATTTTGAATTACAAAAATACGGCAGTAAACAGTTTTATCGATAAGTGTTACATAACATAAGGTGTATGATAACTTTGCCTCCATTTTGCCTTAATGTTTTTACCCAAAATGGTCCTGAAACCTTAATTTTCATGCCTACTTTCTGTCAGGAAATTTTAGTTTCCATGACAGAGGCATAGCAGACTACGTTTCCTGCCACGTGTCACTTTACTGGCCGCATCTGTCACTTTACCGGCCGCACCGTCACTTTACCGGCCCCATCTGTGACATTGGACGCGTTCACCAGACGAAGCGTTTCATGAGCGCTATCTAAAGGCAGAAATACTCTAACAAGGTTTCTCGCGATAGTTGCTATCTGATAGCACTGTCGAGGTGTAAAGACCAACGTAGTACGTCCGACTTACTGTGGTGTGTAGACTTCGACAGTGCTATCAGACAGTAACTAGCACGAGAAACCTTGCTAGAGTATTCTCACTTTTAGCATTGAATATCAGATTTATTATTCAATGCTTTTAGGTAGCGCTCATGAAGCGCTTCGTCTGGTGAACGCGCCCATTGCTAAACGTCTATAATGACTCCTGTCATCACTGACAGATTGACATTTTAATCAAAAGTTCTATATAAAAATTGAAATTTTATAATAAAATACGATTTCGGGTAGGTATAATTTAATACAAAACTCGTCAGTAAAATGACATTAATTCAATATTTCTTCACCAGTATCGTGTCATTTTCCGGACTTTTATGTAAATAACTATTAATGCTCTCAACGTTATCCAAAACAAAAATGCACACTTAAAGGAATTAAGTGTTTCTCCTATGCATATTTTATAAAATATATACATACTTGCTTACAATATTCTGGAATAAACTTAAAAGGTGATGCGTTGAAGTTTCAACGGAAATACCCATAAAATCGTTTGTGCTAGTATGGCACCTAATACTAGTTATTTATATATTAAGGGCATTACCTATAGTGTTGTTTATATTCTCAAGAGCTTTTTAGTCGCCCGAGAGCAAAAACTTCAGTTTATGCCCGTGGTTTTATGTCTTACATAATTCTTCGTCAAAGTAAATATTCGTTTACAAAACAATTCATTATGTTTGATCAAGTATACGTGGTTCGAATTTGTTAATGTGATTGAAACCATCCAAACGTCAAACGTAATTTCAAATAATTCAATTCATCATGAATGAAGAAGTTCCAGATACTATTCGAAATAATGTGATTTAGTAGGTATTGATATTTAATTATTGACGTTTCTAATTTTCAATGACCTACAAATATTTGTTTGATTTGTCATTAAGTATATAAATGAGTTACTATGGTGATACTTAATGCTCTAGGGCATAAACACAGATATAAAATGTGCTATGATGTGTTAGTAAGACATAAAATATTTTATGGTAAAAGTATGTTGCGGTAAAAAGGCGCAATTCCACGCTTTTCTGGTCAGTAGCATGTGACGTATGATTCAAATACTAATAATACGTACAGCTTATCGTTCCCACTTTCCTCGTTTTTGGATACAAACACGTAGGTGTACTTGTAGCTTCTCAAATACCTAAATGCAATTCATACGCTTATGTTGTAAATATACGAGTTCATATAAATGTAAATTCGCGTGCCCATCAGTATTTGACAAATTTCCGAATAAAAAATAATGTGATTGCTGATAATTCATGGCTAATTTTGCAATGTCATTGCGATTATTCCTGTGAGGGATAATTTAATACCTACCTATAATAGTTTAAAGAATGTGAATAAAAAATAAAGTATACGCCATGTATACCTGATCTACATAAAGCTTCAGAAAATTTAAATCTCGCCAGTAGAAAAAATTCTTTATCATTCTAAATGCGAAATATTAGGAGAGGGTGTGGTGAGCGTAAAGAAACTTATAGTTCCTAAAATATTAATTCTTCATTTGGTCTGGAAAAAACACCATGCTATACCGCCACAAACGGCAATGATTTAAGTGTTTAAATCAATCTAAACCGTCTCATGGGCGCGCTTCGTTTATAATTTATCGTTTGTGAAATCATTGAATTTGATAGTTATAAATTCAATGGTGAAATGAAGACGAGCAAACTTTCTCGCCAAGTGGTGAAATCATTTAAGTTCTACAAAGTGAAATCGTTATTAGATTGTGAGACTATTACAAAAGTTTTGATGTAACCACTTCTGAACGACGTAAAAATGAACGGTAGCTGTTATAATTATTGCCAAATTCTGTATACGTCCGAAAACAAAATGGATTAGTCTTTTATTCTACGAAAAGATTTAACACGGTTTAACAGTCTCGACAGCTCGTACAGAAAACTAATTAATTTCCAACGTTTGTGAGAGATGGCAGCTGGATGAATGCACAACAAATTGACCATTTGTAGAAAGAAACCTACGTGCTTTGGAAAGCGCCAAAAATTACACGGTTCTAAATTTATAATAAAAAGTTTTAATTTTCACCGGCGCCTTAGATATTTTAATTTTGTAATAAGAGGTCTCCTTGGAATTCTTCAATTGGGGCGTGATGAATATTTAATTTTGCTGCCATGAATGCCGTAATAAAGTTTTAACGCAAGTTACGCGTTTAAACATAAACTCAAGCTTTGTAAATTGTAATATTCAGTTCTTAAATTAAAATAAAATTTAAGGCTATATCGTCAAAAAATTTTACATCTTCAGACTTAAACCTTACAATATTTTGTTCTAGTCTTCTGAAAACGTATTGAGTTCGTAATTTCTGCCCCTAGTAACCTTTTTGATTTGTGTAGGGTCATTATACGTTTTGTTACATACGAGTTGACTACTCACATAAGTTAACGGTAGCACTACCATTGTTTTCCAGCTAGCGCCACGTCTTTTTAGATGCATTGCCATAATTTTTAGTAGGAGTAGATGGACAGATTGTTCTACGTACGTTCTACTTTTTACTACCCACTATGTATCTGACAGTGACTATGCGCGCAAGGAGGTTTCTTGTTCATGCTTTGAAGGAAACGATTCCAGATTTATGGTTCCGGTGTAGAAGAAATACCCAATTAAAATGCGACATCACACCATAATCGCATGTTGTACATATGTACATTTAGTATATAAAGTTTACCTAAGTGTAAAACATAAATGAAAAAAGTGTGTTCTATTACAAAATATAGTCATGGCGAGATTTATTAAGCGGCAGAGAAAAGCGATGCAAGCTTTATAAGGGTGTCGATGGTATCCGTCTGTCCGTCAACACAATAACTGCCAAACCCTTGGGCTGATCCGTATAGGATTACACCGAGGTGCTCTGCCGTTTCAAAAGTGGCATCTTCTATTTCAATGGCGCTTAAGGAAGGAGATGAAATTTACGATGACAGATAGAGGTGATTTATGCGACGATTGTCGAAGGTACCTATCACAATTTGTTACAATACAGGAATTGAAAACCCTCGTTCGTACAAAATTAGCAATATAAATATAACAAAGTTTACGCAAAAAATAAACATCTTGGAGCTGAACTCTTTGACGACAGGCATATTTAAATCTAACAGAAGGAAACAAATCACATTCTTTCTAAATGCGTTTACACATACCTCCATCAGCCAAGCTGCAAAGATCGATAACTTTAAGAATTGTTTGATTACTAATTCCATAAATTATGTTGTACACACTTTTTTAAATAGAACCGATCGTTATTTTGACACAAATAAATAAATTACAGTACCTCGCACAAAGCGCTCTTTCGACGCGATGGTTTTACTGCATATCTTCAGCTTTTCACATGATTACTAGACGACACCCGAATACCAACGATCCTATATTCCAATTGTGAGTCTAAACCACACGGGAACACGCAGAGACCCAAAAAAAATGTCATCAAAATCCGTGCAGCCGTTTAGGAAGAACACATGCACAGAAGAATTTTATACACAAAGACCAAGACCTTCCCTTGCCATTTCTTACGCTCGATAATGACAAATGTATTATAACGGAAGCACAGCGTACAAAATGTAAAAATGTAAACGCATCGTTACGGTACGACGACTT